TCAACAGAAGTTATATGAGTGGAGATACTGAGCCCTAAGGGTTATTTAAAAGTGATGTGCTTTTGTTTACCCAATCAAATCCTTGAGGCTGATACCAAGATGGAGAAGGAGGTAAAGGAGTTGACTGAAGCAGATAATGCGGTGATACTAGGGAACTGCCTTCCTATTGCCTGTGTAAATGCATGCTTGAGTCATGCTGTAGAAATGAAATTCCTAGACATCATAAATGACTGTGCGCTGGAACAGCTGGTCACAGAGCCAACCAGAGGGATAGTGGTGCAAGATGTATATGCAGCTGCACCAGTTAGGAGCAGCGAGCAAAATGCAATTTAGTTCAGCATTCCTGTCAATGAAAAGTGAACCCAAAACAATAACATTTGATTTCAAAAGAGGGAGTTTTACATAAATGAGGAGAATAGTTAGAAGGAAGCTGAAAGGGAAACATAAGAGTCAGATCCCTAAAAAATACTTGGAAACTATTTAAAACCTACCTAACTGAAGCTACGAGAGAATGTATCACCCAAGTTAGGAAAGGCACTGCCTAGTCTAAAAGAATGCCTGCATGGCTAATGACCCAAGTTGAGGAAGCCATAAAAGGCAAAAAAAAAAAAAAAAGGCTTATTTTAAAAAGTGGAATGTCTGCCGCAATTAAGTGAGCAGAAGGGAGTGCTGGGTCTGGGAAAAGAAGTGTAAGTTAATAATTAGATATGCAGAAAGAGAACTTGAGTTCTTATCTTCAGTTGGAAGTAGTCAACACCCACTTTTACTGGATTGTTTACTATTCTGAGTGGATCTTGTTTTCATCTTTGCCCTGTAAAATAATGTAAAACAGGGGTCGTTTTGTAGAAAAAGAGCTAGGGGAACTCATTAGCATAACTCATTACCATATGCCACACCCCCTTACATCACCGGAAGTGTGTCATAAGGCCACACACCCCGCCCCCAACGGTCCCGGCCACCGCTGGCGGCCTTGCAGCTATACTGCCGAGCCCCATGAGGGGCCTGGCGGTGGACCTGCAAGGCCGGCGGGAGTGCAAGGAAGTCCCGCGAAGGCCCTCCCTGGCCCCAGGCAGGCAGGGGTGGGGAGAGGCAGGGAGGAAGCAACTTACCCTCTCTCTTCTCCTGCCTCCACCTGGCTGAATGAGGGCCGGAAGCGGGGCAGCCGGAAGCAGGGGGCGGGGCTTCGTCATGTGCCCCACCCCCGTACCTCACCCAGGGGAACTGCGATCCCCCGCGATCCCCCCCAAAATGACCTCTGATGTAAAACATATATGCTCAGAATGCTGGGCCTTTTGGCCTTCCTTTGTAATAATCTCTACACATGCCCTCATGCACCCACAGACACACACCATTTGTGCCCCTGTAGTTTTCTGTGTACAACTGTATAATATTTCATGCATGTAACAAAGTAGGCTATGGTACTCAGTGTATTGGTCTTTAAGATGACACAGTACTTTGTTGCTTTGTCTGCATCTGACTAACAAGATTTCCCTCTGGAGTTTGTTAGATGTGTAGTATTTAGAGCAAGTCATATCTCGACTGCAATCAGATCTCTGTATTGCCAGGGTTAATTTGAGAACCTGGATGTGAGCACAGATGAGATCTCTGTATTAGCAATGTGGATGCTTTTTTCGTCACATATTCAGAGATCCAAGTGATTCTCACCATTACATCAGCAACAAAATGATGTCCAAACTGGTCCTCAGATTCATTAGCATCAAGACAACAAAGAACTCTTTTGGTGGAAGTTTCTCATCTCAGTGGAAGGCAAATTTTGAAGCATGTGATTTTTCCAACTGAAAGGAAATGCTAGATGTTCAAATCTATTGTGCAGATGTTATAACAACAAACTAGAGTTGAGAGAACACTGTAACTTTCTGAATGTTTGCAATTTACAGTCACATAGAGGGTCTGTGTAGAGGGATCGTTTTGTCAGTTGGAGCCAATTATTCATAAAGTCTGGTAACTAAAAGTATATGACAGTCAATGTTTAAGATACTCTGTTAATTAGCTGTTATTTTTATTGCTCTTGAGAATGTTCAGTGGATTCCCCAATCTGATGTCTCTATAAATGGTACGCACAAGATCAAGTGCTTTCAGACATCCTGCAGGGTGAGTTATGCAACATCCTTGCATAACTTTTGCTAGAACACCACTGGCTGCATCATGCTGATTCTCTCTTTGAGATTTCATGCTGCATTGCAGGATCAGCATGAAATTATATCACCATAAATGCAAAATGTAAAAAAAAATTGATTAAGAGTAATGGTAGTTTATCTGCCTACTTTTGACACATCATGATCGCAAGTATTCACAACAGTACGATTTAGCAGAGCGCCGGGGGGGGGGTGGGCGTCTCATCAGTTTAATTTTTGGCCTTTTTGAATTTAACAAAATGCTTCTGTTAAATTTTATTTGTGCTTAAGTTTGCCTTTGTGTGAGCAACTGTGGGAGTTACTATAATTAGAAGTGATGGTGGTAGAAATACTAGTAGTAGTAGTAGTAGTAGTTACAAATATTGTTTACTAGCCTAATACCCGTGCTTCACTACAGTATTTAAGTTCTGTAAATCCAGTTATAATGCCAATGATGTGAAGTTTGAAATGTGACATTTGCTGTAGGAATTCTAGTGGAGAAGATTGTAGTGTAAAAAATGAAGTGAGGCATACGTACTCCCCCCCCCTCTACTGAAGGACCTCTCTGTAGACCACATTGGTGGTTCTGCCCTCAGGTGCTAGGATCACCAGGCTGCTTGATGAGCTCACTCTGGAGCAGGCAACATAGAACTGTCCATTTAAGAAGCAGCCGTCTGTTAAGTCAATTCCTGCCAACTTCCATGAAAGTGATGGCCTCTCTACTTGTGTTCCTGGATTGTTTTGCTCATATGGAGACTGTGTTGTTCTGAGCAACTCAGGGTGATCTTGCTGGTACTTGGCCTGCGCAGCTCAGTGCCCCGCAGGAGTCTTTGCCACATTCCTAAGTTGCCTCCTCCTGGCAGCAGCCTGTCCAGTGTAGGAGGGGAGGGGGGGGAGGAG